ACCCCCCCACAAACGCAACCCCACGGAACCGTTCGTCCAATGCGACTGTCCCAGCCACCAAGTCGCGCATGGTAATATCCCATACTTCAAACCCGGCCAAGTAGAACGAACTGCCCATCTCGCGATCTACATAGTCGTAATCACAAAACGATCAGCATTTGATCGATATATATATATATATACTAGAAAGTGCAAATGATGGGAAAAAAGGGAATTTTCCCATGAGGTCCCACGCCTCGTTCAGGTTGTTAGACAATATACGTGTAGGAAAAAAAGGGATTTTTTCCCCAATCCCACCACCACGTTGACACAGAAATGGTTGGGGAAAACACGAGTGTATGTTTCCCCACTATATATATATATATATATATATATATATGCACACAACGTTCATATGTACCATATATCTTTTTACATACCTCCGTTCGAACCTTCCTCGCGCAACACTGCGATACGGTGCTGGTTGCGGGTAGACAGTGCCTTGGGCGGGGTCGGTTCATACGTGAGCTGCCACGGCGGAATGCTGCGGTGCTTTAAGCCATCTTGTTCTTGCTGGACATGGTCTGGGCTGCGCTGGCGCTTCTCGAGCTCAAACGACGTGGCTTCCCACGTGTCACGCAAACGGGCAGTCGTGTCTTCCACGACGGTGCGGCCGTTCACTTGAATCACGAGCGTCTGATCGACGTCAGTCACGTGACCCAGATGCACCAGCGGCACATGCAGCGACGCAAACAACGCGACAACGCTGGCTTGATGGGCCTTGGGCACTTGGACAACGTACCCCAGCTCCTCCGAGAACAACACTCCGAGTTGCTCTCGGAGTGTTTGTACTTTGGAGCTACTCGACGGGATGTTGACGTGGAGGCCAACGTTGCCGGCGAACGCCATCTCGACCAACGCGACGATGAGACCACCGTCCGATCGGTCGTGGCCAGCACTCAGCCATTGGTTGTGTACGCACGTTTGGATGGCTTTGAAGGCGTTGATAAACAACGCCGCGTCTTCCACGTCGGGGACTTCACGACCGACTAAAAAGGTATACATGGGATTAGATATATATATTACATATATTTTAGATATACATATATCGACGAAAAAAAACAACGAGGCCAATATATAGATGTATTAGATAGATATCGACGAAAACACGAGGCAATTATATATATATATATATATATAGGTATCGTTATCAAAGGGACTACAGAATCATAAGACAACACATCATGGAATAGAATAACAATATTTGAATTAACATCATCAAATGATCGATATGCTACTAGCTACTGCTGGACACTATATTTGGCAATTCAATAAAGCACAACATTCAGGTACAAAAAGCACATACATACACTCCAATAAAGGAAAGCACATACACTCCAATAAAGGAAATCACATGTCCAACAAACTCCCCCAAGGACAACCAACCCCAGAGACATACATTCCAATAAAAGACACCCCATATCAAAATGCTACATGCATTCCCAACCCAACATCGATATATATACATATATATGTATTCATACCTTGGTTGTA